CATATACTTGCAAGTTTAGTCCCCAGTTGATGAACTGTTTGGGAAGGATTAGGAAGTATGGCCTTGTTGGAGGAGGTGTTTCACTAGAAGTAGGTTTTGAGGTTTCCAAATTCAATGTCAGGCCTAGGCTCTCTCTCTCTCTCTCTCTCTCTCTCTCTCTCTCTCTCTCTCTCTCTCTCTCTCTCTCTCTCTCTCTCTCTCTCTCCCTCCCTCCCTCCCTCCCTTCCTCCCTCCCTTCCTCCCTCCCTTCCTCCCTCCCTCCATTCTCCTCCCTCTCTTCCTATCCCTCTCTCTGCCTGCTTCCTGTGTATCAGCATATAAAGTTCTCAGTTATGCTCCAGTGTTGTGCCTGTCTGATTTCTACCATGATGATGATGGACTAACCCTCTGAAGCTGTAAGCAAGTTCCCAGTCAAATGGTGTCTCTCCACAGCAATACAACAGCAACTACGATGGTTTCCTATCACTCACTATGGGCAGCTTACAGCCACCTTTAATTAAGACTCCAGAGGATCCAAGGCTTGATTCCTCAGGCACCCATATAAAACATATGGCATCCATTCATACAGACACATATACATGCATAATTTTTTTCAAAAAAGAAAGAAATCTCAACAGGGATACGTATTATGGTACTTTTTTGTTTGTTTGTTTGTTTTGTTTTTACAAGACAGGGTTTCTCTGTATTGTTTTGGAGGCTGTTGGTCCAACCCAGCCTCAAACTCACAGAGATCCGCCTGCCTCTGCCTCCCGAGTGCTGGGATTAAAGGCATGCGCCACCACCGCCCAGCATTATGGTACTTCTTAAGAGTACCTAAAGCTTCATTAGTGTACCTTAAAGACATTAGAATTGGAACATGATGGTAGATAAAACACTCAATATCATTAGAGTTCAGTTCTCCCCAAATTGACTTACTAATGTGATTCCAATGAAAATCCTATCAGAAATTGTATTGATTTTGGTTTGGTTCGGTTTGGTTTTTCGTTTTCTGAAACAGGGTCCCATTATGCAGTTCCGGTTACCAAGGCTTCCCTGGGAAATCGTATTTTCCTATTTCAGTCTCATAAATTCCGAGGTGACAGTTGCGTGCCACCACACCTCGCTCCCTTTTTCTCTTGTTGCTGCTGACCTGATGAGTTAAGATGAGTTAATTCTGTGGAAAGTGTGTGTGTACACGGTTGTGTGCATGCACGAACCCAAGCTGAGACACGTGTCAAAGCTAAGGATGTGCCTCGTTGGGTGTAAGGATAATTCGTAAAGTTGTTAAATAAGACAGCATTTGGGGCTTGTCGTGCAGCTCAGCCACAGATCCTTTGTCTCACACGTGCGGTGAGCGGTGCTCTATACCCCACACTGCAAAAAATGATAGAGTTGTTGTATCAGAAGCACATTATTGAACCCAGAAGTAGAAAGTCACTTGATATATGGCTGGCATGGAAGAACAATGAAAAAAGATTAATGTAGCTACTAAATCACTCTAGAACTATCAGCATTCCTTTCAGGGAAAGGGGAAATTGGATCTCAACTTTACAAACTGTATAACATGCTAAATGGATTAAAAACCTAAATATGAAAGATAAAACTTTTAGAAGAAAATGTATAAGAAAAAAATTTTTTATGATGATAGGTGAGGAGAAGAAGGATTTGCCAAATGAGACACAAAGTCTGATAATGACGGAAAATTGAATAAGTGTCACTATATTAAAAATCAGAATTTCTGTTTGTCAGAAGATGCCATGAAAAAAAGTCAGAAAAAAAAAACACAACTACTAATCGGTTTAACCAATAAAAAGTCTCTATCTTTGATACAGAATTTGAGACATCATCAAAGCAGAACATCACAGTGAATGAACCACAGCTATGTAGAACAATGTGAATGAATCTTTGGTACTGAGGAGACGGGAAGCAAGTAGCTAAAGGCATATAGAGGATGCTGCTTCTTCACAAAATTCAGGGAAGTTAAAACAATAATGTACTGCTTAAAGTAGTAAACTACTTTTTAACAGGAAAAGAATGATAAGGAAATTCAGTGTGGCAAGTCTTCGGCTGAAGATCAGAGAACAGCACACAGATGTATCAGTGCTATTAATGCTATTCTACATCTCAAGTTAAACAAAAGAATTCATGACTATCCAATTATTGTTGAGCTTTTGGAGCTTACATGGACACACGGAGTATGTCTTCATTTGCATATAATAAATTTTTTATAATAGCCTTCTAAAGAGTGGGTAAGCAATAAATATGCCAAAACTAAAAAGGCCACGGTGATCAATATCCTTTGGCATCTAGATAGCATCTGTCCAGGTTGACAACCGTCTGCACTGATTGGGTATGTAAGTCTTGAGCCAGTTACAAATCAACTTAACGAGGCTGCCAACAAACCTACATTTCTCAGCCGTGTACACAAGGATATCAGGTTGCTTTGCTAAGTGCTCACAAGCCATCTGTTTAAAATTTCCTCCTAGAGTTTACCAGGGATCAATGTCAAGTACCCTTGGAAAGGTATTCTAGCCATATGCGTTCTCAGGAAACACCAAACGTTAACAATCCAAACAAAGAAGATAAAGATTCTTTGCTTCTTAGAAGATTCCAGAAAGACCTAGGTAGGGACTGGGCGTCCCCTCTGTACTTGAAGCAGTTGTCAGACTCCAGTGTCTTAGAGAATAGGCCAGGATGAGCAGATGCTCGTCGAATTTGTCTTTGATAACTGCATTAAAGTCATTTTCTTGTGACATTAAGATTAAATTAGAAGCTCTGTTGTGTTTGCAACCTAAAGATTTTTAACACAGACAGACATTTGTTTCATTAACAGAAGCCATGGTCTCAGAAAAATAGCAACCTCCCTTTTGTAATTAAAGTAATAGAAATTTAGCAGAATATTTGAAGTTGTTTGAAAAATGATATTTTTAAAGTTTGTCCTTGCCAGTTTGAGGAATAATCTACACATCAGAAGTTATATCCACTCAGCACTTAACCACTCAATGAGTCTTCATAGTAATATACACTACAAATCATCACCTCAGACAGGATATAAAACACTTCCATCATGATCATCAATCCCACTGATTATATTTAAGATAAGTAGAATCATACAATGTATACTTTTATATCCAGCCTTTTTCATTCAGATACTGAGATTTGTCCATGCTGTTTATAGCAGTTAACTTCTTTATATTGTTGAGTATTTAATATTTTACATAAATGTGATATTTTGCTTAACTATTTGCCTGTCAGTGGACACTTTGGTTTCCAGTTTTTAACTATGAATTAATCTGG